AATAAAAACAACCACTTATTTAAAAGTAGTCTGAATAAAGGCTTCAAAACTCCAAAGTAATTTTCTGGTAAGAATTTCAAGTACTATACATCAGAAAGTATAAAACTGTTTGAAACAAACAAAAATCCTTAAGCCCCCCTAAAATGGAAACTATGAAAATGTGTGTCCCCCAAATATATGCAATAGTGCAAGACTTTTCCTCAAACATGGAAGACCTCATTCGTGGGGGGAAGAAAGATTTAATTTTACTTATATTGCCCAATACATGAAAAACAAAATGTGCGTCATTTGCTAGCTTACTAAATAGCAAACAGTTGCATAATTCAGAACCAATTTGCTACTATGTCGAGTGCATATTTTGTTTGTTTTTACTAAGATAGAATGGAGAAGTCTTCCATGCTAACAAGCAGCTTTAAGTGGTCACACTTATTTACTCCACTTCTTGCCTGAAACATCAGAAACTGGTATATACTGATTGCTCCAAGCATAAAATTGGATAAGTTTTGCCATACTTGCGGTTTACTGGAACTTGCTATAAAGACAGACAATAACCCAGCAGCTACAAACTTTGCTCACAGAACTGTTTAAAGATTCATGTAAAAATAAAAGATGTCCTCCCAGACTTAAATTCAGGAGCCACTAGGGTGCTGACATCAGTTCAAGAATTGTGCAAAATGAATGACAGTTCCCTGCCCCCCCAAATAGAAAATGCAAACACTTAAGAGCTGCTGTTCTTTTCTCTGAAAATTGCAGTATCCTCACTTCAGGTTTACTTGCCATTTAAGGAATCTGACTGCTTTTAAAATGTCACTAAAAATGTACATCAAGTTGATTGCCTTTTCCAAGCACTGAAGTGATACCTGTCAAGGTTCACATTCAAGCTAGGAGAAAAGTCAACTAGAGACTTACTCAAATAACTGACTTCCTCCTTTCCTCTCCCTCCCAAACACACAAGACTCCCTCCCTCCCACAAAGAACACAAAGTTGTTAACTGAAGAATAAGATAAATAATATGCTAGGTCCATTTTACTGATTTTAAAGATACTGCAATTTTTATACACTTCAATGATTTTTCAACGTTTTGCAGCTGTTTGGCTTTGCAGCACAGCAATTCATACACTATACTGTACAAAATTACCAGCAAGACTGGAATGATGTATTAATAGAAGGCACCATCATGCTTATTACATTACTAGAGAACAAAAATACAGTAAAGACAATTTTCACTGTACACAGCTTAAAGAAAGGAAAGAGGGGAGGAGGAGTGTGTTGAGCAGCCAGCCATCCCTGTACTGAAGAGGGGCAGGTAGAAAAATCTTAGATATGGAGCTACTAAATCTGGTCTAATAGTCAAGACCATAGCATTTGAAGTTCTGATTTTTGTTATTTAGTTCATAACTAAATGATTTCCTTCTGGAATATACTTGTAGTCTCGTTAAGGTTTATGTGTACACACGCTGGTCACAGCAAGCAGATAAAATGCCCTCACCATTTCACAAACTATTGTCTACTGGAAATGATGATGAAAGATTTTTTCCCCTGTTGCCTCCTGTTGCAGATGTCAATGTTAATGAGTTCAGAGTACCCATTAGTGCATTCTGATGAGTTTCTGTTGGTTTGTATTTTTGGGGGGAGCCAAGAAAAAAGGCAAGATTCTCCAATTGCACAAATTGCACTATTTGTGTTTCCAACATTAACAGGCAGAAACAGTAACACTTAAACAAAATGTGCAGAAGATTTTTTTTTTTTTTTTGACTCAAAGGACCTGAATTCAGTGGGCATGTCCTTTTAAGTTCGTTTTGTTGTAGATAGTTTAAGATACGGTCATTTTTCAGTCCTTAATTCTCCAAGTCTAGATTTATAAGTTAACAATGTGAATCCTGTTGTGAAATTGGGGAAATAATGTCCACCTCAATTTAACTGATAACCAAAAGATGCTTTTCACATCAAAGAAAGGATCAAAAAGGCTGTGTCACATTCCAAAGCCAAAAAAAATTAACAAGAATGCAAACACGATGAATAATGTACCACTGCCAAGACTCTGCCAACAGTGGAGCTTCAGCGACGCTGTCCTGTGAAGCGGCCTTCCATTTGCCCGGTTCCTCTTCCAGAGCCAAGTTTCTGTGCCATACCACCTCTTGGAGGAGGTCCTCTTCCATCACGATCACGCATCATTCCGCCACCCACTATTCCACGTGGACCACCAGGACCTCGATCATTGCGCCTAATATCCCTGCGATCATCACCACCACCTCTGGTTTCTCGCTCTCTTGCAGCTCTTGTTTTTTTCTCTTCCACATTTAAGCGTACCTCCCCTCGAAACATAATTGGCTTTAAAAGAGGAGAAAAATATTTATACAGGCAGGTTAGAGAACAGAAAAATATTAACCTGCACAGATAAGTTAGAAAATGTAAGAAATAAAACTTCCATGAAATTCTTACTACGCAATCTTTCCAAGCTTCAACAGAGCAAATTATGGAATTTAAAAGGATCCACACTTTAAACTTACTAACAAATTTTTATTCTTTGCATAAATACCATTTCATAATGAACTATTTTTAGCTTTACCATTAAAAATAAGATTTTCTATGGCTTTTAAATGCACCAATATTACATACAACAGAAATAATAAATTCTTGAATTATGCCCTTTAAAGCACTTACTTTTGCAATTAAGATTCTCTGAACTGGTTCAGAGTCATCAAAAACCACAAAACCAAAATTTGGAAGCTTTCCCCCAACACCCTTGGTATTGATGCGAAGTTCCACAACGTTTCCAAAACCTGTGAAAATATACATTACACCAAGGGTTAAGTATTTTAACAGAATATTTTGATGGCTTTAATTGTTCAGGATGAGTAACTTTAGTCTCCTTGATCCATTTCAAAAAATAAAAGTTGCAAGTTGCTACACCTAGTGACAACTAAGGTACATTCATTCATGTAAGCAATCACCTAAGATACCAAGAGCTAGCTTGGCTGCCTGTTCTGTTACCTTTCGACCTCTTTGTTAGTCCTTCCACAAGCAAAGTTAACTGCATAGTTTTAGACAATATATTTTGTCTAAAACTAATACATGGACTCATTTGCCAAATGAGTCCTATCTCCGAATTGAAGGCTGATCCATCCAGCTGTTTTCTCCAAGCTCTACCGAACCAGGTCAAGACTACACTAAGCAGTCACTGAGAAACATCTGATATAAGCTATTCCTTTCTGACCAATTAAGGTGAGACTGGTAGCTGGACACAAGTGTAAAGAGAGAAACATTTTTTTAAAAATTGGTTATGTTATAAAAAGCATATGCCTCCTGCTTAATTTAAAAGCAAAATAAACCACTTACTCATGAAGAATTCTTTCAGTTCATTTTCATCAATATCATGTGGCAAGTTACCAACAAAAAGCTGATGACTGTCTGGATAGCGAATTATCCTACGGTTGTCAGAGTCATTCTGTTCCATATCTCCTCTGCCTGAGGATAGGAATGCAGCCGATATTAAAGTTTACAATATTACATAAAAACCAGTTCAAAGCAATGAATGTTAAAAAAAAAAAAAATACTGATATTCCTGTTTTAGTTTAATAAGACCAGGTGAGCTCCTTAAAAAGGGGGCAGAAGTGCCTATTAAGTTAGAAAACAGTATGACGCTATTGTAAAGTGAGAATATTAACTAGGTTGCTAAAATCCCTTCTTCTAGATCTACTGGTCTGATTATACAAAAGCCAAATATTAATAATACAGGTATTCCTCCTTAACCAAACTTGCCATCAACCAGGAACCAAGCAGACTTCAGATAGTGAGGTATATTTCTACTAAATGTTTGCTTAGTCTTCTGAAAGTCACAAATTATTGTTGTTTGACATTATAGCCAAATCAGTAAATTTTAATAGCAATAATCTCAGTTATGTAGTCTTTTATACATATTAGGATACTATCATACACACAAGGAACACTAAGGTAAATAGGCATCACACAAGAAAAATCTGTCTAATAGCTGCATGAAAGAAGTTCAGAATTAAGGATCTCACTCAAGATCATAAATTCAATCAGTGGCTAAGCTAGGACTTCTGGTTTAGTAATACATGATTTTATTTTGTGGGGAATAACATTGTAAATTTGATGTATACTATCTTCTACCTTCTCCCAAAAGCAATCTAAACGTTCTTATATAATTCAAATAGAGGTACCACATATAATAGCTAACAATGTAAACAAGTCAAAAATCATGGCAACTTACTTAATACCTAAGACAATCAAAATAAGGAGAATCAGGGTGTGCTTAGTATTTATCTGTGAAGAGATAAGAGTGCTAAGTAAGAGAGTAGGTTAGGTCATTGGCAACTCAGTCTTGAATTCAGTAAGGGAGTAAGTTAGGTTGCTGGCAGCACGGTCTTTAAGAATTCTTTAAGAATTCAATTCTTGAAACCAGTGACAGTAACCAAATAAAACTTGTCTCAAAAGTTTTTTAAACCTTCAAAATACATGTCTCCATGGGTTGTCAACCAATCCTTCCCTAAAAGTTGGTTGTTCTGCCCAGACAGTGTTTCGGCAGGTTACCCACATCTTTAAGCAAACTTGATACCACAAGAATCTGTGTATAAAACACATTGTTTTTTTTAAAAGTTGTCTTTTCTGACCTTACAAGTAGTGCTAAATGCTAAACAGTCATAAAGGGGCTGACTTACCTGGTCTTGGTCCTCTAGGAGGGAAACCAGGTCGTTCTCTAGGCCGTTGTTCACGCACACGAGGTGGCTGAGACTGAACTTCTGGTTTAGCTTCAACTCTTGGCTAAAATAAAAGGGAAAAAACACATTATTAAAAAAAAAAATACTACAGGAAAAAAAGCCAACTAAAGTAACCATCACCAAGTCACTAGCAGGCATAATAGTAATTTTAAGTTTAGAATGTTTTTACCATAGTTTCCTATGTATGTGAAAAGGAAATTTTTATAAAGATATTCTGTACCAATCTAGGACTGTAGGGTAGGTTTTGTCTTCCCACTCAAGGCTGTATAACTCACAATAAGCTGCATTTTATAATCACATTTTTTCATTAAAGCAATTCCAAGCTGTATCGACACTAAAATAGTATAAAAGGTATTGCTACAAAAACCACAAAAATGCAAGATGAGCCACTCCATGTAAATACATAAATAAAATTAAAAGCTATCTTTATCTTAGACAAGATTATATGACACATAATTTCTAAATATCTGGTCTGCTGCCCCTTCAAAGGTAACAGTGCTCAGTAATATCTCCTAAATACCATCATCTTAAAATCAATATTTTAATAGTTCAAAATATATAATTTAGCTTACTCCAGCACCTAAAAATGCTACCTTAAAGTTTAAATGCATGTTAAAAAGAAAAACATGGTAAGAACTTATAGGAACTTATATGTAACATTTCAAGTAGCCAAAAAACCCTTTTAGCTCCTTAGTGTTTTTCCTTATGTGCATTTATTTAAAGTATCAGCCACAACGATTTCCTTAACTGTCAGGGCTAGGCTGGGATGGGAGTAATAGGACATTTTGAGATGCCTTCCAAAAGTGTCTGCTAGCTGCTGAATTAAACACATATAACTAAAGTAACTATTTTTAAAACAAAATAACATCCATATCTGCTATTTATTACCTTTTCCTGAATACAACAGCATTTTCAGTACTATAACCTCTTCAGGCCTTCTATTGCCCAAATAATTACGGTCCAAGAAAGAGACAAAAGAAATAAGCCTTCAAAGTATGCTGAAAACACCCAGCAGGATATGGAGAACATATTCCCAAATCAGAAAGCTAGAAATTTCAGTCTTGTCTTTAAAGGTCATCATCTCCGAAGACCTCAGTCTAAGCAGTGGCTCAAACTCTTTCATCATTTATATAACTGAGATATTAAAACTTGCAAGGACAAATTTGATACAAAAATGCTTCTTTCCAAAATGACGATTTATTGCAAATGATTTCAACTACTGTAACCAAGAGGTATAACTCCTAAACTAGAAGTTTAACAGGTTTGCCTGCCTCTTCCCAAATTCTGTTTTCCTCCATATAGATGTTCCATTTCCCTCAAGATAAAATTGATCCCCATGTTCTAAAATTCTGCCAGTTAAAAAATAAAAATTTTATCCCTCTCCAGCTTTTAAAAATTTCTATGTATTTATTCCTATAAGGCCCATCTTTATTCATTTTTACATCACCCAAAGAACAAAGCATAGTGCTGTTAGACACAGATGTTCAGTAATTACTGGTTCATTTAAAATTAAATTACATTTTTACTCCTCTGACCCAAAACATGCAAGTGAATGTTCTATGTCTGACAAGGAGGTCTAAATGATAGCCCTGAAAACCATCGCTATCTGTATTTGAAGTTTAACACTCAAGAATTTGATACAAAATGTGATGCCTAAAAAAGGCAGTCATTTAGGAATTTAAATTAAAGGGGTCTAAAAGCACACCTTACTTTAGTATGACTGTAAAACAGAATTAAAGAAGTATTCTGTTTAAAGGTTAATAAAGCTAGTGTATTACTGGCAATTAACAGAAACAGCAAATGTACCTTGTATTAAAAAATTTCAGAAAAACCTTAGACTCATCCAATCCAAATGTTATCAAAGAACTTGAGTTCCCAGCCTTGACTGATTTAAATTCTTCTCAAAACAGATATCCAAAAGTAACCACAAGTAGGAAAATAAAAGTTTCTTCCTTATCCTTACAGAAATTAAAATTAAAAGCAGATGAATTTAAGTAATTTCCAACATCTTACATATAACTCATACCACTGATTTAGCAACTTGACTTCAAGTAGGTATTTGATGATGCCAGTGCAAGAAAAATCAGACACCAAAAAGCTAACAATGTCCCTTCAATAAATGGTTTAACGTATGTTAACTAAGCCACCTGTGTACTTACAATTCTTCAGGCCCATTTTCATGATTAAAACTAACAGTTATTCTGTATGGATAACTGGCTAATATACCACATACTACTACTTAGGGCCTTATAATTAATTCCATGTAACCAGAAAGCATGATCAAATGACAAATCCCACAAATTAAGGTCAGAATATTAAAAAAAATAAATAAATAATCAAGTCAATAAAAGCAGGTATAACCACAACCAATAAACAAGTCCTTCAATTAAACATAGGCTATTTACATGAACTAGTCAACTTCCAGACAAAACCTTACCAAGAAATTAACTTACATACTTCTAAATCAATGCCTACTAATACCCCCAAATTAGATCTAGTTCCCTTTTATCAGTAATCTCAGTTAACAGTGTAAGGAAATGAACACAACACAAAAGTAATAAAATAAAATTGAAGGATTATTAAGTGGAAATATCATGAATCCATTCTAAGTACAACCTAAACAGATCAGAAAGTTCTTTTAAAGTTTAAATTTTAAACATTTAAAAATGTTTTATTAAACGGGAGGCTTAGGAAATACAAGCTAGTTTCTTACAACTTGAAAAATATCTTCAAAAACACTCAAAGTATTCTTCTTTGATACAAACACAGATAGATATATTACCCTCCAGCGAGGTGTTAAAAAATATGTGGGTTTACATGAGTCACATATGGACTCTGGTGTTCAACTGCATGAAATGAAAGCCCAGTCCTACTATTTACTTAACTGTCTGATCACGGATAAGTAACTCGAGGCCTCAATTTTCCTATCTCTAAAATGGAAATAACAGTATTCACTCTGACAGGGTGGTTATAAAGATTCAACGAGAATGAATATAAAGTGCTAACCACAATGCGTGGCACACATTAAAGGCATAATAAGCATTAGCTATTTTAACTTTTAACCAATATATGTAGCCAACTCTCTGAAATAACAATCCAAAGCTTCCAAATCCAAATCTGACAGGAAATCAAGATTTCAAAAGAAAAGTCACAAGTCATTTATCAGGTCTTTAGACACGTTGAAAAGCACAAACAATAGTGGGCAAACTAATTTCCTTCATTAAGATAGAACTCTGGCTGACAATCTGAGGTAACCATTCATCGTTTCCTGAATATCTAACTGAAACAAGTATTATGGGACCAGACCATGTATTCTAGTTTATGTAGCTGACTAGACTGCATACCAACACCAGAAAGACTAAACTACTAGTTAGTTTTGAAACCTCAAAGTTTCACTTTTTAGAGAACATAAAAGATGCACAAACTAACATTTTAAATGTAAATTTTCTAATGGAATGAAGTTTAACACAAAATGTAACAAAAAGAATTGGACATCCTCTTTATGCCTAGAAACTTAAACAGAATTTGGTTGACTCTAAACTGTATCATCTAACAAACATCTTAGGTAGCCAGCGTCTTATTTTCACATTTTTGAAAGCTCTGAAATGGGTAAGATGACAAACAGACAAAAAGCAGAATACTGGAATGATCAATTAAGGTGAACGCTACAGTCATAAGTTGGTACAGGCTTCAATTAAATGGTGTGAACCACTTACAGACTGAGAGCTTAGGCAGTGTACATTAAAAAATTTTGTTTTTTTAAAAAAACAATGTTTTTTTATTTTTATAACACCACACTACTTTGGTGCCTTTCCAAATTCCTTACCTAAAATATTTTTTGCTAAATAAAATATAAAGCTTTTTAAAAAGGAACATTTTTTTACTTTAAGAAGCCTTTTAATATTATATATATTGGTAAACAATATTATATATTGGTAAAACCAACTTAATCTGTATTTCACACACCCAAACCCCAAATACCACCTATGTAGATGATGAATGGAGAGTTGGCATTTAAAGTGGGTGCACTGACATTTAATACAATTTTTTTGTATATTCAATCCGTAATTTCTGATTGACTCATTTTAAAAAGTATTAAAAAATAAGCAATTGGCAATGTAACAAGGATACAATCCAATGTGTTCACAGATTGGTTACCTGTGAGACTGGTGCTTTAACATGGGGTGGAATTCCAGAGGAAGAAACAGTACCACTAGGAGGCAGGTTTTTACTGGTCACTGAAGCCCAGGAGAAAGCCTGCAGGAAATGCAACAAACCTAGACTACTAATCATGGAAAACCACCAACATTCCTATAGGGAAATTCCCAAATATATATTTTCTTTTCATTTCTAAACTATTGCTCTATATTGGAGGACTCCTAAAAGAAAGGCACACACACACATGCCAGTCTATGTGCCAGCTTTCGAAATCTCATTATGCAAGATTATTTATAACCGTTTTGTCTGAACCACTAAATAAAACCACACGCAAGTTCCTACACACTCTAAGCAGATGAGCAAGTGGCAAACAAAACCACTAACAACTAAACATGCTAGAAAAATCTGAACCTAACAGAACCAATTTCTTTCCCTTTTTGGGGTAAGACAGGGTGTGTGATGGTGTAAAGGGGAGAGGGGAAGGATAGGAAAGAAGAGAGTACCAGCTGGAAACTTTAACAGACATTCACAAATTGAACAAGGAATCTCCTCCTCTCACTATCCAAGTATACTTTAACCTTCTACTTTACAGGAAGATAAAAGAAGTTTTAGGTAGGCTTACATGATACACTAAGGGTGTCACTCATAATTCCAAGATAGTTCAATTGGTGCAGTAAGGAAATTGATCCCATTTAAACCACAAACATTAGGTATCTCTTCTTTGAATTACAGACCAACTTGTGTAAGTTGGGAAATTGCATGACTCCTGGTGCATATGTGCTTACAGCATTTAGTACAGAATGAAAGACCGACAGCCTTATTTACATGGAACCAAATAATTTCATGTAAGTTACTAAACACTGCATACAGACAAAGGATTGACCTTAAGATATAAATTTCACTCTTAGGGGGTATGGGGGAAGGAAACAATGAAATTTTCTCAGGATAACAAAAAACCCCACAGCTTCTTTCATATACATAAGAAAGTATATTACTATATTAAATAATTTAACATAAGAGAACAAAGGTCATGCTTCATTAATGGCACCAAGTATGAAAGTGTGATGTTACAGGTCTGAAGAGTTTCTTTGATCTCACCTTTGGTGGTTCTTGTGGCAGAGAAACAGGTTCTGCAGGAGGAGGAGTAGCAGATTTCTCCTCTAATTCTTCTAAGTTCTTCTCCTCAACCTGTGGTTTCAGCTCTTCAGCTTTCGTTTCAGATTCTGGCTCAGGTTCAGGTTCATGAGAGGACTCTTCCAAAGGCTCCTCTATGCCATTACTAAAATAAATATTTAGTTCACTTTTCAGTAGAAGTAATATGATTAGTTCAAGTAAGATAAAATTCAATTTCTCTCTAAAGTAATGAACATAACGAGTTAATTGCCAATAACCTGTACTGTTTCTATAAAGTGTTTTGAAGCAAAATTCCAATAAGAACTAGAAGGTAGAAAGGAGTAATACTCTCAAGCAGCAATTCTTTAACCTTAACTCTTTTAAATTAAATAAAACAATTCTTTGAAAATTTCTTTCATACATGTAATAGGTAGTTTCATCAAAAATTTACTTCCAATAATTATTCTAGGTACAGAAACCAGCTTGCCGACATCACAGTTCAGATCAAATTTGACCTTGCAAACACTGTTCTTACGTCACAGGGTGAGCTTCATAGTAACCACTGTTAGCATTTTCTTGCACAGGTTCCGGAGATGGTTGCCTTTCTTCTTGTTCTTCTTCTACTTCATCTTCCGATTCTGGCAATACATAATACATCATATCTTTTAAGAGGCCTAACAATTTCTAATACACATATATTTTTAATATGTGTAATGTATTTTTATAATAATTTAAGGAGGTGGTATGATAGCAAAAAAAAAAAAAAGTCGAATATTTTACAGAGGCATTCAACTGCAATATTCCCTATTCTCTCAAAAACTGGAGAGAGCAAGCATGATTAAGTTTGGTGTTTATTATATTCTATTGTAAAAAGATCTTTTAGTAAGAAAGAAAAAGGTAGGAAATATATTAAAGCCATGATTCAGTTTCCTTTGTCACATCTATTTCATAGAGCAATGATAAATGAAACAAACCAATGTTTATCAATGGAAGATCAAATAATTATGGTATAGTTACAAAATGAACACCCAACAAAGAAGTGAAAAAAGTAAACCGAGCCAGCATAATTCCATTTTTGTAAAAGTAAGCGTTGGTAAGTACAGAATCCAAGAGAATTCTACAACAGACACCAAACTTGGTTATCTATAGAGGATGAAACTAGGGAAACTTTTCAGGGAAACCTTTTTTCACTTTCTATGTCTGATTTTTGTATAATTTCACATAATGGACATCTATTTTTTTTTTATAACTAAAAAAAAAAAGGAGAAAAGGGAATTTGACTCTGTTGCAATAAAAAGGCAAATTTCTATAAATTTCATAGTCATAGAAATTAAACTGTTCTTAAAGAATACTGACACAGCCCTTCTAGATTCAAAGTTAACCTCACCTTCATCAAGTTCTGGTTCAGAATCACCAAATACTTCATCTTCATAACGAAACATATCATTGTGAACATAAAATTTATTTGGAACAGATCCCTATAGGAGAAAAACATGTAAATATTCCATAAATACCCATGAATTTGGTATTATATAAAAAACAAATTATATGATATACACATTTTAAATTTCAATATTAGAGAAACAATCTGAACTCAACATAATTTTCCATAGCTGAACATACTATGATGTTAAACTAAAAAATCACTCAAAAAATATTACAACTCAAGAAACAGCTACCTACTCAAGAGAACCAACAGAACTTTTCCATTTCGTTTTCAAAACGTAACTGTTAAAATATACCCATATACTTCTGGTACTGTTTCTGCAATCTTAATCATCCATTTACTCGCTTGTAAGAGTTTCTAACTTTGAATTCCGAATAATCAAAGCACACGCGCTTGCACACATATGCTCAAATTATAACAGATCCAACACAAATTTCTCAAAAATAGCAATATGCAAGTCTACATCTATTAGAAGAAATTCTTGGACACTGCGACCAATAACAACTAAATTAAATCATATAAATAAAATTACGTGAGATGAAAACTTACCTCGGGAGCCAGAACAAAGGTTTGCATAAACTTCCTCTCTGGCTGTCCACTGTTAGACAGCAAACCCATGACCTGGACAACTACTCCATCACTCAAGGTTGCATGAGCATCCACATGACGAATTTTAGTATGACATTCACTGAAGTTCAGAGATAATACTTTGTGGTGTATATCCTTTATTAGGGAAGGGGAGAAAACAAACTCTTGTGATACCGCGTTACCTACACAATATTATTACCCACCCTCATTGATTTCCCTACAACTCTTTTTTTTTTTGAGACAGAGTCTCATTGTGGTGCCCGGGCTAGAGTGAGTGCCGTGGCGTCAGCCTAGCTCACAGCAACCTCAAACTCCTGGGCTCGAGCGATCCTCCTGCCTCAGCCTCCTGCGTAGCTGAAACTACAGGCATGTGCCACCATGCCCGGCTAATTTTTTCTATATATTTTTAGTTGTCCGATTAATTTCTTTCTAATTTTAGTAGAGACGGGGTCTCGCTCTTGCTCAGGCTGGTCTCGAACTCCTGAGCTCAAACAATCCGCCCGCCTCGGCCTCCCAGAGCTAGGATTAGAGGCGTGAGCCACCGCGCCGGGCCTTCCCTACAACTCTTAAATGTTAATTATTTAAGCTTTCTGCCTCATTTGAATCCATTCTACCATGCCATGCATCACTGCCAGACTGAAGCTCCTAATGTCACCCCTCCTGTGCAAGAAATCACAATGGCTCTCTAATATTGTACAGTAATCTGGGCTTTGTACAGCTTTCTCCCACTTTTCTATACTAAATATTCTCACTAACTGTATCGACCACTCCTTGACCTCACACCTAAATTTACTTCACTGTGTATTTGCTGATGCCATTTTTTCTACTTCCAATTTCTTCTTATTTGGTAAGGCCAAATCCTATAGAATCTTGCTGAAGTCTCGCATCCAATACGAAGTCTTCCCTCCCCGTTAGACTATAAGGAGCATACACTCCTGTGCGTTCCCATAACGCAGGGTTTAGCCCACACTGTGTAAACTTAATACATTATCTCTACTCTTTCATGTATAAAATATATCAAGGACAGAAAACATCCCATTGTCTCCTTTGTATCCATTCTAATGTAATACCATGTTTCATACAAAAATGGATGTTTAAGAAAGAACTCAAAGCACCTTTGACAATTATTGAAAGAAACTCCAGTTACAAATAATGATCATATTAAAGAAATCCATGGGCACGTGAAGGCTATTTTAAAATCTCTATCATAACACAAAAAAATTTCTAAAACATATGAAACTGATACATACATTTTGGCCATAAACTGCTTCCTGGGGCTTTCCACTAGCATCTACTCCACCATGAACATAGGAAGAATTCCTGCCATAAAACCTGCAAAACCATTGATAATTAATGAACTGTGAAAAAAAGCCTAAGACGCAGTAGAGTTCTGATGTCAGCCAGAGTAAGTTCCAGGTCTGGTTCTATCACCAATTAGTTGTGTAATCTTGGGTAAGTTACTTAAGGTCTTTAAGTTCAGCTTCCTTGGTTATAAATCAGTGGTAACCACTCCACAGGGTTGTTGTAAAGATTAAATCAGTAATGTACATAGAATGCTTAGTGTATCTGGCATACAAAGTAGACAATCATTACCTATGCTCATTTAATTCTTATCACATCCGTTTTTTGGTAAGTGGAAGCATGAAACAGTCTTGACTATTTAGTAAATTCTAAATACAGACACTATAGTAATTGATCCACTTCTTCCCTTCAAATACAAAAACTCAGCTGTCTAGATATGTTTAGGAATCAGAGTTTAACACTCTATTCAGATCTCCAAATAATTATTAATTCTAAAAGCTTAGGTAGGAACAGTTTAGATTTAAAATAATTAAGATAATTCAGAGACCATGTCAAAAATCTAAAATTACTTCAGCATTGAATTTGTTAATATTTTTGTGCTAAGTACATGATAAATTAATCTTCTCTTGTATTACCAAAAGCAATTAGAACATCTCTCTGAATTGAGGTTATCAAAGATACAAAGTTAATTTTTTTCATAAAGAGAACTCAGCTCCTATCCTAAAAAAAAAACATGTAAGAGCTTTCTTTAAGCCAAGCAATGTTTTCAGTGCATTACATATATTGATTCATTTAACCCTCTTAACAACCTCATGAAATAAATGCTATCGTCTCAGTGAACAGAGTGTTCAGAAGAGGTTAAAGAACTCCACTAAGGTCATATATCCTACCAAGTGGGTAGCTAAGACAAGAACCCAGTCTCGCTCCAGAGTCCATGGTTTTTAACTATTAACTTATACTTTTAAATTCATATTATTTTCTCTCATGTACTATTGGCAAGCAAGTAAACTGGCATTATTTTTGCAGAGGACAATCTGGCAGAGTAGGAGGGGAAGGGAGAGAGGGGGGAGGGGAAGGGGGGGGAGAGAGAGAGAGTGTGTGTGTGTGTGTGTGTTTATGAAAAGCCTTAGAAATGATCAAACCTTTGATGCAACAATTCTTCCAGGAACTTATTCTAAGAAAATAACTAGCAAGGTACACAAAATGCACATTTGAGGATATTCATTATAGCATTGCTTATAAAAAGTAAAAAATTACCTCATAATACCCTGAAATAAAAAAAAAAGTGAAAAATTATAAACCACCTAAATTTTCATTAAGAGGGAAATTGGTTAAATGAGCTAGCTATAAAATGGAAGTTTGTGCCACTTAACATGATGTTGTACAGCCTTGTTTTAATTTTTGCTTTGTCACTTAAAAAAAAAAAAACTAATACTACCTATAATCATGAAAAGACCAAATTTCACATATCACTAGGCCCTATTAATTTCATTCTTCCCCATCTCCCTCACATATACTGTCAACAAAAATGTCTTTATTTTTACAATTAGAAAAACATACAGCTATTCATGTGGGGTTTATGGGGGGGGTACGCGTTAGTTATACTTTATATCTACTGCATTCTAGTTGAGTGGCTGGAGGCTCTCTAGTCAGAATTGGGCCTGAATACTGGCTATGGCTAGCTCATTTACTTATTGCATGATCCTGGATGAATTACTAATCTCGGATGCCCAATATGTAAAGTGAGTAATAAAAGCACCTTCACTTTGTAAGACTGTCATAAGGATTACATGAGATAATATACTAATGGAAGTACTTAAGAGACCCTAGCAAACAGTAAATATAAAAACGTCTTCTGGAATAAGGCAGAAAATACTACACAGATAAAGGAACGTAAGTCTTTTAAACAGCCTTCCCCACATCAAGTGGCAGTGAAATATTTATCCGTAACTCACTTACCCGGTGTGTCCTACAATACACGCAAAGTCTAATTCCACTTGCTAAGATATAACCAGATGACAAATTAATAAGTACTACCCACAATGTAAATCAATTTCATTTCAATCTCTGGAAAAAATAAGCTCAAAGATGTCCCAACATTTGCCAAGATATTATAATAAACAAGGCTACTACTGCTGCTCTACCAATACTATTTTTGCAGATTAGAAGAAATACAAATTTCCCCAAGTACAATCATTTAACCGATTCATTCCCCAACACTGTTTGGGAGGACTTAAATGATTTAAACCAATGATTTCAAATTGCATACTGGAAAACCATTAGTTGGTCAGGCCCAAGATTTTTTTAAATGAAAAATAAAATACCAGAGTATATATAAAAATATGAATGTGTTATGTACTGGGATGTGGTGTGAGGTGTTTTTCTTGCTGTGAACCAGTCAAAAGCACTGGTTTTACACATCAGATGGTTAAAATATTGAATATGGTTTAGAGATATTTACAAAGACACTGTCAGGTTATGAGGAAGCAGGAGAGGAAAAATACATGTAGTCATACCCCCCCAAAACTAAATAAAAACACTAAACAATGTTTAAAATTTACCTGTGTAAATATTCTGGAGCTTTATTCAGCAAAGTATAATATTGCCTCACAAACTCCCGCCCTACAAGCAGCGGACTGGGCTTCTCCATAACCATTTCTTTGCTGCACAATGTCAAATGCTGAGGAAGCAAACACAAGAATAACAATTATCAAAAAGTCATCTTTGTAAACTATCATGAAGTAAGTTTTCTTAGCCATATAACTGGGATTAAAGTAAAGTAACATCGATTATTAAAAAGTAATTTACATGCTGGGCGCAGTGGCCTGTGCCTATAATCCCAGCTACCTGGGAGGATCCCTTAACCCCAGGAGTTAGAGAGCAGCCTGGGCAACGCGGCAGGATCCTGTCTCAGAAAACAACAGAAAAACAAACCAAAAATAATTTACAACAGCAAAATAATAAATTTCTAATTACTACCTGTAAGGTAACCTCCAACATTTGCGTCTCCCTTTCTATTTCTTGATTTCCCTATCCATCAGTACTGGAGGAAGTAGCACCTTTGTTCTTATTCCCAAAAGAGTCCAAAGTTGCCTCAGACTAAGTATACCATAGCTTAGTCCTTCTATTCACATTGCCTTTTTTCCTCTGGGGACCAAAATCTACATTCCTGGATTGCAGTGGTTTCATTTCAGAAAGCTAGGCAGAAGGCACAAGTTAGGCCTTAGAGATTACACTCATCATGGCAAAGTACTGTGACTTATGTCTTTGTATTCTCTTCTTCTGGGAATTAACTTCACTGTTTTCGAAATAGTAATAATGATTAATAACCAGCTATAACCTCAGTACTCAAAGACAATCCTTTTTTCCATTTTGCATTATGTCTTTCCAATCTTTCCATTAGTTAAGCATCTCACTACATCAGGTACTGTCTACGGTAAATGGGATACTCTGGTGAACAGGATAGTCTCTAACTCTCAAGGAGTTTACAGTCTGTCAAGAAAACAAACTGGAAACTCAATAGAATGGGTTAAGTACTATGATAAAGTACCTCTAAGCTGAAACCTCAAAGATAGAGGTCAAGAAAAACTAGCACAGGTCAGGCGCGGTGGCTCACGCCTGTAATCCTAGCGCTCTGGGAGGTTGAGGCGGGCGGTTTGTTTGAGCTCAGGAGTTTGAGACCAGCCCAAGCAAGAACAAGACCCTGTCTCTACTAAAAATAGAAAAATTAGCCGGGCTTGGTGGTGCATGCCTGTAGTCCCAGCTACTCGGGAGGCTGACGCAGGAGGATCACTTGAGCCCAGGCGTTTGAGGTTGCTGTGAGCTAGGCTGATGCCACAGCATTCTAGCCTGGCAACACAGTGAGACTCTGTCTCAAAAAAAAAAAAAAAAAAAACTAGCACAAAATAAACCCTTCTCTTCATTTACTTTACGCATATAGCCCAGCACAGTCAAAGTTATTACATTAGGAACTGGGGAGTACAAAGGAGAGAAAAAACTATGAAAATTCGAATATGACTTGTTTTTCCAAAAAACAAATATAATCAACTATCCTTTCCTATTACACTTATAAGTACTGAAAAAATAATCACAATAGCTAAGGGTGTATCTATTGGGCAAACCAGGGTGCAGTTTAAGTTCCTGCTTAACAAAGGTTTCCTTTAAATTAACTAAAAAATTTCACAGCCAAAGACAGTCCACCATAGTCATTACAATTGCGATTCTATCTTTAATAAAAACAGTACCAATAGTAGATCCTAAAAACTGCAGCTTTACACAATTCTAGTGATTTACAATTTAACTTTATGCTATTAGGTTCCTTGTTTTTCCTTTTTCAACTGTCCTCAAATTCTGAAACTTAACCAACAAAAATTCCGAAATCTAGTTAAATTTTTCTACAAAGCCTCACTTACTTTCAAAAATAGTTAATTCACAAAGCAAATCCAGATACTACCATTTCAGGTGCCGCTGGTTTTCCATCCAATTTAAAACTCCTAGTAATAAGGCTAACAACTCGAATGCCACATTTAAAGTAACAAAGCTAAGCAACACAGTATTTTTATTTTCAGTAATGAGATAAGGTGAAGAACAATAGACTATTTAGTAAAATTTCATAACTAAAATGTGAAAATCATAGATACTTTAATACTGTAACAAAACTGATGATAAAGTAATACTAAGACATGGGAAAATACTAAATTATCCTCTGAATAAAATAATTATAGTACAAAATAATTTTCTTCACGTTGTTAGTAAAAGAAATGCCATCAGGGATTGTTTCTGGGTTTTGGGATTATTGTTTCTGTTCTTGTCTCTCTTCTGTATTTCCATGCTTTCTCCTGCAACACTTGGCATTCGTCCCTAATCTACCACATTCGTAAAGTACATATTCACCTATCATTTGTCACTTACATATTTGTTTCTTTCTCAAATCAAAATAAAAAGGTACAGAATACACATATCAGTATCAAAGAAAGGCCAAAATACACTAAAGATTCATTTATAACAAATTCCAAGGGAGGCTTCAAATTGCCCATTATCTATACAGTCATTAAAGTATGATGTCCACAATATTGATTTAGATCAGAGACACACAGAAAGGCAATACAAGTAATTAATGCTTGATTTATCATTATTTAATAAATTAACATTTATCATAACATATTCAAAGGAGGTAACTTGAAAAGTGAATTTCAAATGGTAAACGACATAAGGCAATGCTTATCTGGTAAAATCTAACAGAACAGGCTATACAGAGTACACCTATTCTAAGCTGAAGAGGTGGCTCCCACAGGGAATGGTAAAACAAAACGAAGATGTTACTCAGAGAATGGTTTCAATTAATTATACTTACAGATCAGCTACTTCTATACTATAATTCCGATTTAAAATGATTCAGAATTTAGAGACCCAGAATGTAATTGATAGAAATCAACCAGAAAGTGAAGGTATTAGAGGAAAAAACAAAAAACCTCACTACTTACTTATCTACTATGTAACAGCAGGCTACTTCATATGTTCTTCACAAACAACTGACCTCTCACCCAACTTCCGATTCTCTCCCCAGTGTAGGGAGATTAACAGTTCAATGAATAAGGAATGACATCAAAGCATCACTTGGAACGGATTACAGGGGAACCACCAAACAAGGTAGTTTGGGTAACTGCAGGAAATAAGACTTTGAAAAC